GTAGATCAAGAAACATCAAGTTTCTCGTAGATCAAGAAACATCAAGTTTCTCGTAGATCAAGAAACATCAAGTTTCTCGTAGATCAAGAAACATCAAGTTTCTCGTAGATCAAGAAACATCAAGTTTCTCGTAGATCAAGAAACATCAAGTTTCTCGTAGATCAAGAAACATCAAGTTTCTCGTAGATCAAGAAACACCAAGTTTCTCGTAGATCAAGAAACATCAAGTTTCTCGTAGATCAAGAAACATCAAGTTTCTCGTAGATCAAGAAACACCAAGTTTCTCGTAGATCAAGAAACATCAAGTTTCTCGTAGATCAAGAAACATCAAGTTTCTCGTAGATCAAGAAACACCAAGTTTCTCGTAGATCAAGAAACACCAAGTTTCTCGTAGATCAAGAAACACCAAGTTTCTCCGTAGATCAAGAAACATCAAGTTTCTCGTAGATCAAGAAACATCAAGTTCCTCGTAGATCAAGAAACACCAAGTTTCTCGTAGATCAAGAAACACCAAGTTTCTCGTAGATCAAGAAACACCAAGTTTCTCGTAGATCAAGAAACACCAAGTTTCTCGTAGATCAAGAAACATCAAGTTTCTCGTAGATCAAGAAACATCAAGTTTCTCGTAGATCAAGAAACATCAAGTTTCTCGTACATCAAGAAACATCAAGTTTCTCGTAGATCAAGAAACATCAAGTTTCTCGTAGATCAAGAAACACCAAGTTTCTCGTAGATCAAGAAACACCAAGTTTCTCGTAGATCAAGAAACATCAAGTTTCTCGTAGATCAAGAAACATCAAGTTTCTCGTAGATCAAGAAACATCAAGTTTCTCGTAGATCAAGAAACATCAAGTTTCTCGTAGATCAAGAAACACCAAGTTTCTCGTAGATCAAGAAACATCAAGTTTCTCGTAGATCAAGAAACATCAAGTTCCTCGTAGATCAAGAAACATCAAGTTTCTCGTAGATCAAGAAACACCAAGTTTCTCGTAGATCAAGAAACACCAAGTTTCTCGTAGATCAAGAAACACCAAGTTTCTCGTAGATCAAGAAACATCAAGTTTCTCGTAGATCAAGAAACATCAAGTTTCTCGTAGATCAAGAAACATCAAGTTTCTCGTAGATCAAGAAACATCAAGTTTCTCGTAGATCAAGAAACACCAAGTTTCTCGTAGATCAAGAAACACCAAGTTTCTCGTAGATCAAGAAACACCAAGTTTCTCGTAGATCAAGAAACATCAAGTTTCTCGTAGATCAAGAAACATCAAGTTTCTCGTAGATCAAGAAACATCAAGTTTCTCGTAGATCAAGAAACACCAAGTTTCTCGTAGATCAAGAAACACCAAGTTTCTCGTAGATCAAGAAACATCAAGTTTCTCGTAGATCAAGAAACATCAAGTTTCTCGTAGAATCAAGAAACATCAAGTTTCTCGTAGATCAAGAAACATCAAGTTTCTCGTAGATCAAGAAACATCAAGTTTCTCGTAGATCAACAAACGTCAAGTTTCTCGTAGATCAAGAAACACCAAGTTTCTCGTAGATCAAGAAACATCAAGTTTCTCGTAGATCAAGAAACACCAAGTTTCTCGTAGATCAAGAAACACCAAGTTTCTCGTAGATCAACAAACGTCAAGTTTCTCGTAGATCAACAAACGTCAAGTTTCTCGTAGATCAAGAAACATCAAGTTTCTCGTAGATCAAGAAACATCAAGTTTCTCGTAGATCAAGAAACACCAAGTTTCTCGTAGATCAACAAACATCAAGTTTCTCGTAGATCAAGAAACAAAAATCACGCCGAATACAAAAAAAAAAAAATCTACATCTTTCAGTTTGTTTCAACATATCAAAACATTCTTTTGAATAGAAACAAAATCATACATAATTCATACACCTTAAAAAACAGTTATACATCATCATACAGCATTATACATCATACAGCATCATACAACATCATACAACATCATACAGCATCATACAGCATCATACAGCATTATACAGCATCATACAGCATCATACAGCATCATACAGCATTATACAGCATCATACAGCATTATACAGCATCATACATCATACAGCATCATACATCATACAGCATCATACATCATACAGCATCATACATCATACACCATCATACATCATCATACAGCATCATACAGCATCATACATCATACAGCATCATACATCATCATACAGCATCATACAGCATCATACATCATCATACAGCAGCCTCGTGTATGTGGATGAAATGTTAATAAAACAGAAAACATTTAGTATTTTTTAATGGACAAAAATATTTATAAATGTCTTATGTGGCCAGAATGTTACATTTATTTTCGCAAAAGTACTTTTTTTAAATAATAATAATAGTGATTATATATATATATATATATATATATATATATATATATATATATATATATATATATATATATATATATATATTTAACTTGCTTTAATAATGATAAATTATCTGTAATTACTGTGTGTGTGTGCGCGCGCGCGTGCGTGTGTGCAAATATTCTGTACGTGTTATGTGGTCAAGTACCTGTGAGAGTCAGGTACGTGTACGTGGTCCAGTACCTGTGAGTCAGGTACGTGTACGTGGTCCAGTACCTGTGAGTCAGGTACGTGTACGTGGTCCAGTACCTGTGAGTCAGGTACGTGTACGTGGTCCAGTACCTGTGAGTCAGGTACGTGTACGTGGTCCAGTACCTGTGAGTCAGGTACGTGTACGTGGTCCAGTACCTGTGAGTCAGGTACGTGTACGTGGTCCAGTACCTGTGAGTCAGGTACGTGTACGTGGTCCAGTACCTGTGAGTCAGGTACGTGTACGTGGTCCAGTACCTGTGAGTCAGGTACGTGTACGTGGTCCAGTACCTGTGTCAGGTACGTGTACGTGGTCCAGTACCTGTGTCAGGTACGTGTACGTGGTCCAGTACCTGTGTCAGGTACGTGTACGTGGTCCAGTACCTGTGTCAGGTACGTGTACGTGGTCCAGTACCTGTGTCAGGTACGTGTACGTGGTCCAGTACCTGTGTCAGGTACGTGGTCCAGTACCTGTGTCAGGTACGTGTACGTGGTCCAGTACCTGTGTCAGGTACGTGTACGTGGTCCAGTACCTGTGTCAGGTACGTGTACGTGGTCCAGTACCTGCGTCAGGTACGTGTATGTGGTCCAGTACCTGCGTCAGGTACGTGTACGTGGTCCAGTACCTGTGTCAGGTACGTGTACGTGGTCCAGTACCTGTGTCAGGTACGTGTACGTGGTCCAGTACCTGTGTCAAGTACATGTATGTGGTCCAGTACCTGTGTCAGGTACGTGTATGTGGTCCAGTACCTGTGTCAGGTACGTGTACCTGTCCAGTACCTGTAACTATTAGTATCTGCAACAATTAGTAATGTCTCATACCTGTAAAGACGAGCACTTAGTGTTCGTAAACATAATTTTTTACATACAGAGGAGAATGACCCTGGGTTATATGTTACTAAACCACACAAAGAATTCCATACAAAACGAGAAACAGTGTATGTGAAGTACTGAATCCGGGGTACCTTAGTTCGAGGGTGAATTCGGTAGATGACGCTCGTGAGATCTGCGTTCGCTTCCGACGCTGTACTGTGATCTTACGATACGACCAGTTGGACTCCTTACTGTCAGGATATTAATACATGTTTATGATTTTTTTTGGTTAGTAGTAATTAGGTAGTAATTTCAACACTGTTTTCCTTGTGTTGAAAATAGTATAAAATACGGTCAAGGTGATGATTAAGACACATGTGCAACAGCTGGGGATCTTCAGTGTTGCACACCATGGAGCTGAACTCTTCTGCAGGTTGAGGGATTGACTACCTCGTATTTCCAAGCTTGATAGACTAATTACATCATTTCACCACTACTCCTTCTGCCTCTGTAATTGACTGAAGAAGTCTACTGTATTGGCGAAACGTCTCAACAATAAAGATACTTAACTGTTTCACATGTGTCTTCATCAGTCACTTTTCCTCCCACTGAGTTCACTAACACACTTTCCTTCTGTGGTTACGAAACACTGTGACGTTCTTTTCCACTTTCTCTACTCAAACAGGATGTCGACGAACGTTTAAGTCTGTCTCAACACTGTGTCGGAAAACTGCTCAAAAACTGGGAGAACCTCAGTCGTTCCCAATCGTTCGTTACGCATTTCACGAAACACAAGATAGGAATCTTAACACACACACACACGTTCTTGTTATTTTTCTCCACTCTGAACGCGGAAACACACTCAGTCTTGTTTTTTTAACACATATATATTATAACTCGCTTATACGGTCTATTAGTATCTCTGAGGCGTTTATTTATAACTAATAATACTTCGTTTTACCGCTCTGGGTAGTTCGATTACAAGTGGTCCTTAGCACCGTTATTTCGGGGAAAATGGAACAGTGAAGACTACTTTAACTCCTCAAATATGGACTAGAGTAGATGCATACTGTGTATAATTAGACAGACATACACCTCTCGGTGTATTAGACAAATATATTGTATGCAACTGACAGTCAAAGGATTGCTTTCTCAAATACAATGGCTTATTGAGGGTTCGAAGCAGCGAGGTTTGAAGATTCGAGCGAGTGTTTCAAAGCTTCAAACACTTGATTTATCTGTTTCGGACACAAGTGAAGCATTTCCATATATACTTAATAAACGATTAATATATATATATATATATATATATATAATAATATATATATATATATATATATATATATATATATATATATATATATAATTATACTGTATTAGTTTAGAAACGTGTTCTCGTGTTTTAGTAAATTATGCTATGGTTTCAGATGGCATTTTTGTAATTTTAGTCTTGCGTGTCGTAGTTTCAGACATGTATCCCGCGTAGTTTCAGACATGTATCCCGCGTAGTTTCAGACATGTATCCCGCGTAGTTTCAGACATGTATCCTGCGTAGTTTCAGACATGTATCCCGCGTAGTTTCAGACATGTATCCTGCGTAGTTTCAGACATGTATCCCGCGTAGTTTCAGACAAGTATCCCGCGTAGTTTCAGACATGTATCCCGCGTAGTTTCAGACATGTATCCTGCGTAGTTTCAGACATGTATCCCGCGTAGTTTCAGACATGTATCCTGCGTAGTTTCAGACATGTATCCCACGTAGTTTCAGACATGTATCCTGCGTAGTTTCAGACATGTATCCCGCGTAGTTTCAGACATATATCCCACGTAGTTTCAGACAGGTATCCTGCGTAGTTTCAAACATGTATCCGGCGTAGTTTCAGACATGTATCCGGCGTAGCTTCAGACATGTATCCGGCGTAGTTTCAGACATGTATCCCACGTAGTTTCAGACAGGTATCCTGCGTAGTTTCATACATGTATCAGGCGTAGTTTCAGACATGTATCCGGCGTAGTTTCAGACATGTATCCTACGTAGTTTCAGACAGGTATCCTGCGTAGTTTCAGACATGTATCCGGCGTAGTTTCAGACATGTATCCGGCGTAATTTCAGACACGTATCCAGCGTAGTTGCAGACATGTATCCAGTGTAGTTTCAGACTGATAGCCACACGTGTCAACAAGCTCTTCTATATAATTTGCCACCAAGTTGTCAGTCGAGCCAATGATATACAAGGTTTTCTCTTAATCCAAGGAACTGGAGGTACCCTCTCCTTCCTCTGATCAAACCTAATCCTCTCCCGGAGCCGGGTTTAGCTCTTCTCAGTGAATATGTGGGAAATATTCCACATGCGTCTTTTTCCCTCATGTTTGCATGACGCATAATGTGATTTATGTCACATCAAGAAAACATTTCGCCCACCAGGGACATTGTCAGTTGATGGATTGATTACATTTACATTTCACCACTATATTTACTGCCTCTGTATTTGACTGAAGAGGCCTCCTAAGTAGGCTTAATGTGTCTTAATCAACAACTTCTCGGTATTTTATACCATTTTTCAACATACATGTGTTTTATTATAGTTGATACAGCGGAGAGTTATTATGAAACCTGAGCACACATGTAGGATATGGTGACGTACTGCTGTGTCACACAAACACTCGAGGTTCCTTCAGGTCTCGTGCTGCTGCAGTGAGTCCTCTCAGATCTCAACCCAGCCATGAAGTCCATCTGCCTCGCCTGCCAGGCGAGCTGCGCTAGAAAGGGAAACTCTTGAAAAATGTAGTGTGTGTGACTGGCTGTCGTGGATAACTGTGCTGATGGCTGTGGGTAATTGTTCTCTGGTTGAGGCAAAGGCTGACGTTTCCTCACTAAAGATTTCCATATCTGGCGTTTCTAGGGATGGAAGCTGATTAAATTTCTTCTATTTTGGCTCTTGTTTACAAAAATAATAATAATAATTGTATTTTTCAAGTAAACCCCCATTTAAGATGTCATACAGTTGCTTTTGTTGACATGATACGAGGTTCTTCAGGCGGTCGAGATTGCCCAGTAGATATGTAAGATTATTAATTTTGTACAGATTGTAGCAGGAGTTACTTCTTGAAGACATCTGAAGAAAGGGAGACGCATCGTAAACCGGCCAATGATGCGCCTGACGTTACCAGCATAATGTAAATATTGAGCATTCATACCACATCGTCCCGTAATTACTCTGACATTACTGGTTGTAATAACCCAGGCTATCCCATGAAAGCCAAAGAGTGTTGCTTACTTCCGTTGGGGTTCTTTCTGTCCATCCCTCGGTTAACCCATGAGTATACTTCTGAACATAAGCAGGTGGTGTAAAGAGACTGGTCAATAAGTCTCGCCTCACTCGGGGCTCGGCGTGGTCAACAGGTTCGTGAAGAGTGACAGTATGAGCAAAAAAGAGTGGCAGTGGCAGTGGTCTTAGAAATATTAGTGGGAGGAGGTACAGGGGTCGGTGGCTGCGAGATCTGAAGACATGACTGGATAACATGCCTCTGGGACCGCACCCCTGACTGGTGTGGGGGTCACCCTACAGGACGTTGGCAAACATTCCTTACGGAATGTTTGAAGCAACTGAAGGAATGGACGCGCTAGTTGCCCTAAGGGGCTTCCGAGAACCATTAGCAGGAGTGATGGTTGTCCCAGACATGTCCCCTGAGGGGGTGCTCGGTGCAGGTCATATCATGATAACTCCTGAAGGAGTGGGCGTGGCTCGAACTGTACCCCGAGGATTCGTCATTCTCCTCCAGGTGGGTCTCCATGGGCGGGCGGCGACTGAAGACACGCGACACCATGGGCGAGGGCGTGGGTGTACCGTGCTTGTGTTGAAGACTGACTGGAACACTGAGAGGAACCATGGACACCATCTCTCCTTCCTGCGCCAGCGACTTCTGCGAGGCGCGGTTCCACTCCATCAGTAGGGACCTCACTTTTACCTGCGGCGTAAAACAGCAAAGCTCAGGTTAATTAGGAAGATTCAATGTCCCCATCTGACAAAGTTATGACAAAGAACAAAAAGGCACAGTGTGTCCTGTAAATGGTCCTAGAGGGACCGAAACGTTGTCATCAGTTTCTCTATGTGCGGGTTATTTGTGTAAAATTCTGACATAAACAGAAGACTGAGAACATAAAATAAAGGCGCACCAAGAGCCACGGGTGGACAACCAATAATGTAAAAAGCAAAAATGGTAGAGACAAGAGAGACAAAAGTAATTACTTATCGAAAAACGATATTGTTTGATAATTATGTTTGAGTTGGGGTGTGAGTGCGTGAGGAAAGTTTATCAGGGACTGTGAGAAACTTACTGAATACCAACTGGTTTCACTTTGCTGCCTGTAAAAATAAAATTATAAGGCAAGTTCTCTCTCACCTGTAGTACGCCCCACTCTCCTGGACGACATAAATACATAAGAACTGAGGAACACTGCAGCAGGCCTACTGGCCCATTACTAGGTAAGTCTTTTTCAAAACTCCTACCCACCTATTTACCCCTACACACAAAGTTCTCTCTCACCTGTAGTACGCCCCACTCTCCTGGACGACATAAAAACATAAGAACTGAGGAACACTGCAGCAGGCCTACTGGCCCATTACTAGGTAAGTCTTTTTCAAAACTCCTACCCACCTATTTACCCCTACACACAAAGTTTTCACTCATCTGTAGTACACCCCACTCTCCTGGACGGCCTGCCCCTTCACACAATCCCTCACGCTCAGGACGAGCCTTATGACGGCTTTTCAATTCCTTCTCGACCATTGTCAAGTCACAGATGGGGCGAGAGAAGTAGAGAAGGCCAATGGCAATGAGTGTAGCGTGTCATTCACCCGATTACTGATCGGAGGATCGAGCCTCCAACATTCCTAGCAAAGAATGACCACCCAAGAGGGTTTAGCGCCTCATATAAGTATTAAAAAATATTAACTTCGATCCATATGGGTTTACCGCTTCCCCATAAATATTATTATTCTCACTTAAAAAAATCTTCGAGATATCAAATGATCAGATAATAATAATAATAATAATAATAATAATAATAATAATAATAATAATATTATTATTATTATTATTATTATTATTATTATTATTATTATTATTATTATTATTACTATTATTCGAAAATAAGGGCTAAACCCGTATGGGTCCAGCAGAAACGACGCAGCCAAAGACTTCAAACGATAAAATTCTTTATGTGTTTTTTATCACAATTCGGGTCTGGCAACAGTGTCGACAGGTCTGGTAATAACATTATCAAGACCACTGATGAAGCAACACCAACATCAAGGGGGTGTGTTGCACGTCTGGTAGTAACAACACTGGATGTCTTGCACGTCTGGCAATAACGTCAAGAGATGGATTGGTGATTTAACGGTAACGTCAACAGATGTATTGATCTAACAGTAACGTCAGCAGATGTACTGATGATCTAACATTAACATCAACAGATATAATGATTTAACAGTGGTCTGGTGGCTAAAGCTCCCGCTTCACACACGGAGGGCCCGGGTTCGATTCCCGGCGGGTGGAAATTCCGACACGTTTCCTTACACCTGTTGTCCTGTTCACCTAGCAGCAAATAGGTACCTGGGTGTTAGTCGACTGGTGTGGGTCGCATCCTGGGGGACAAGATTAAGGACCCCAATGGAAATAAGTTAGACAGTCCTCGATGACGCACTGACTTTCTTGGGTTATCCTGGGTGGCTAACCCTCCGGGGTTAAAAATCCGAACGAAATCTTATCTTATCTTATCTGGCATCAACAGATGTATTGATAGTCTAGCAGTAACATCAATAGATCTTAGTCTCTCATCAATATATTCATCCCTCTTTGCTCTGGGACAAGTTTGATTGTGAACCTTTGTATCATTTAAGAACATAAGAAAGAAGGAACACTGCAGCAGGCCTACTGGCCCATGCGGGGCAGGTCCACGTCAACCCCCAGCTTAGACCAATGACCCACCTAGTCAGGCCACTTCCACTTAAGGAGCACGGCATCAGACCTAGCAGCACACGTTAGTCAGGTCCAACTGACACCCACCCATACCCACTCATGTATTTACAATTGCAAAACTCAGAAAAATTTTAATCAGTGTATAGAAATGGTGTATAGATGTGGTGTATAGAAACAGTGTACAGGAATGGTGTATAGAAATGGTGTATAGATATATACCTAACTGCATGAATCCCTTTAGAACCAACTGGTCGAGTGGTTAGCGCACTGGCCTGTGAGTTAAACGACTCACTCGCCATGGGTTCAAAACCCCATCCGTTCCCTGATTTGCTTGCATTCGTGTTATTATGATTTCGTGAGTCCTGTTGAACCAGGCTGGACCTCCAAGCTGGTGTCATTTACTAATTTGAGAACTTCAGGATTTAAGTCAGTATACCCCAGCATTACTTTACTGGCATTATTACCCTCGTGGGGACACGTTAAACCCATAAGGGGGCCATAGAACCTACATGGGAAGCATAGAACCCACAAGGGAACCATACAACTCACAAGGAGACCATAGAACCTACAAGGAGACCATAGACCCCACATGGGGACCACAGAATCCACAAGGAGACCATAGAATTCACAAGGGAACCATAGAACTCACAAGAGGACCATAGAACCTACATGGGAACCATATAACCCACAAGGGAACCATAGAACCCACAAGGGGGTTACAGAACCCACAAGAGGACCACAGAACCCACAAGGGAACCATAGAACCCACAAGGGGACCATAGAACCCACATGGAAACCATAGAACCCACAAGGGGACCATAGAACCCACAAGAGGACCATAGAACCCACAAAGAGACCACAGAACCCACAAGGAGACCACAGAACCAACAAGAGGACCAAAGAACCCACAAGGAGACCATAGAACCCACAAGGGGACCATAGAATCCACAAGACCATAAAACCCACAAGGGGACCATAGAACCCACAGGGGGACCATAGAACCTCTGGAGAATGAGAGGCCATCAAGTGCATGTCAAGACCTTTAACTTTAAATCAAGGGTCTTTCACTGGTATCAAGGCAGCCCTTGAGAGGCATGACAAGTCCTTTTTCCGAATTCGTTTAAAAGGTCACTTTAAAGGGATACACTAAAGAAAACGTCTTAGCTCCTTCCTCTTCAAGAAACGCTCGTTTTATACCGTAATATATCATATAAAAACACTGAGAAAAAACTGATATTCTTGAAGGCTCTTAAACGTATCTAAGTTTTCCCAGTTCATTTAAAGGGATGCCCTGAAAGGGCGTTTAAGGTTTATCATCCCTTAGAAATTTTGGTTTCATTCCAAAATATTTCATACAAAAACGCTACGAAAAAACTTATTTTTTATGTCTCTCTCAAAAAAAAAAAATTTGGGAAGAAATTTCAAATTTTCCACAAACAGTAAAATATTTCTGTTTCGACGCATCCGAGTGACTAACCTTGCGTTGCAAAGCCACACTGTTGCACGTGCAACACCAAGAGTCAGTCCGTTACCCTCGGGGCAAATTGATAAGCCAGTTTCCTCTCCATTTCGTCTATTCCATCTTCCACCAGTGTTGATGTCTCTGTAATCAACTTGTGAATCGAGTCACCAGGGGTGTCTGACCAGAGCCCAGAATACAGCCATTCAACTGAGTTGAACGGTAGGATAATACAAATAGAAAGGGCGTCTGTCTGGCTCTGTGCAGGTGCTGAATGGGTTTACCGCTTAACGTGAATCATTATTATTATCTGTAATCGACTGCTGAAGCCTGCAGCGTGGGCGAAACGTTTAGTTAATGAAGATTCTAGTGGGTGTTATATATAGTCTACTGGGTCTACACTGTAGCAAGACTTGGGTGTCTCTTATGAAGGAGTTTCGCCAAACAGAAAAAAAAGGTTTGTAAATGCTTTTGTTCGTGGGATTATAGACCCTCGTAGCTTTTGTTTGCCAATGTTGTCTAACTCCTTCTTTGTTGCTATCCTACCTCATCCTGCAGGAGTACATCCTTCTTTGTTACTATCCTACCTCATCCTGCAGGAGTACATCCTTCTTTGTTGCTATCCTACCTCATCCTGCAGGAGTACATCCTTCTTTGTTGCTATCCTACCTCATCCTGCAGGAGTACATCCATTCTTTGTTCTATCATACCTCATCCTGCAGGAGTACATCCTTCTTTGTTGCTATCCTACCTCATCCTGCAGGAGTACATCCTTCTTTGTTGCTATCCTACCTCATCCTGCAGGAGTACATCCTTCTTTGTTGCTATCCTACCTCATCCTGCAGGAGTACATCCTTCTTTGTTGCTATCCTACCTCATCTGCAGGAGTACATCTTCTTTGTTGCTATCCTACCTCATCCTGCAGGAGTACATCCTTCTTTGTTCTATCCTACCTCATTCCTGCAGGAGTACATCCTTTTGTTGCGATCCTACCTCATCCTGCAGGAGTACATCATTCTTTGTTGCTATCCTACCTCATCCTGCAGGAGTACATCCTTCTTTGTTGCTATCCTACCTCATTCTGCAGGAGTACATCCTTTTGTTGCGATCCTACCTCATCCTGCAGGAGTACATCCTTCTTTGTTGCTATCCTACCTCATTCTGCAGGAGTACATCCTTCTTTGTTGCTATCCTACCTCATCCTGCAGGAGTACATCCTTCTTTGTTGCTATCCTACCTCATCCTGCAAGAGTACATCCTTCTTTGTTGCTATCCTACCTCATCCTGCAGGAGTACATCATTCTTTGTTGCTATCCTACCTCATCCTGCAGGAGTACATTCTTCTTTGTTGCTATCCTACCTCATCCTGCAGGAGTACATCCTTTTGTTGCGATCCTACCTCATCCTGCAGGAGTACATCATTCTTTGTTGCTATCCTACCTCATCCTGCAGGAGTACATCCTTCGTTGTTGCTATCCTACCTCATCCTGCAGGAGTACATCCTTCTTTGTTGCTATCCTACCTCATC